CCCCCAGAGGTAAAGTCTTTACTAACCAGTAAATTACATCTGCTCACTAATATTGGTTAAGTTCATATGTTGATTTTCCTATTGATTATGCAGAAAGCTTTAGAAAAGGGTTAGTGAATGAGGTAGAACAACATGGAGAACATTCTCTCTCCATGTAATTAAGTTTTGCTTTATGGTATTTACTGATTCAGATACTCTACACACTGTAGCTACTTTTCTAAAGAAAACTTTACCAGGTAAGCCGTAAAGTCCTTTAACTGCCATCTATTTATTAGGTTATTACAATAGGCAATACTGGTTATTAGGTTATTACAATAGGCATTTATTAGGTTATTACAATATTTGATCGTGTGAACTTGTGACATAACTTCCCCACTGTACAATTTTATCTAAGCATCTCTCTTTAAGGATTTGACTTTATCCCCTCTATTACAACTAAACCAGGAAAGCATCAGTCAGTAGAAACAAAATCACCTTGATACTTAATGATGAGCGAGAGGAAAATCATACTTCTTTTTCTGTTTACACTCAGACTCCACAAAATATTCCTATATACTGTATTGTCAAGAGGCTTTTAACCTTCAATTGGGACTCACTGTCACAGGTACATTGGAAGGATTTTTTTTTAAATTACTCAAAATATCCTATAAAATGTATGTATTATTAAAATCCTCCAAGTGCAAGTAGCATGGTCCTGATCAAATGATCAGATACAACAGAGCAGGAAGGGCTGCAAAAGTATAGCAAGTACAGTTGTCTCCTGAAAATTTGCAAAGGTTTGCTTTCCTTTAGTGGAGCAGGAGCACTTGGTACTGCAAAGGCTGGCAGAACTCTAGGCAACAGCAAAGTGACAAGAGGAAGAAGTTGCATATAGTCTGGTTCACAACACAATACCTAGAACAGCAGTAAATGCAGACTCAAAGTTATTGCTTTATCTTCCATAATATCACCTCAACTCCACGTACATGAGACTTGAGTAACGTGTGCAGTTACGAGTTGCTTATGATGCCTACTGCCAGTCCCTTCCTCCCTATCAGATAATGGCAGCTTCCCAAACAGAGAACAGGCACTCAGCTGATCAGTAACACACCTTATAGCTGGTCTCACTGCATATCTCAGTTCAAACCATGAGTGTGACTTTTGATTTTTAAGCTCTCTCCAAAAGGAGGTATAAATGCTGAGAAGACATGGAGATGTTCAGAAAGCTAAACAAATGACAGCCTGGAAGGTTGTCCAAATCTGACATTTTGATGACTACTATAAGCAGAGTTAATAACACAGTTAATTTAAGAGGCAGTATTTTTAAGAAAACAATGAAATCCCCACCTACCTACTTAAGAAATAACATCAACCTTGAAAAATTAGGGACAGAAAATGTTAACCAATATAGAAATGGTCAACAGTTTATACACTCAAATTGCCTACTTGAGAGAAGGAGTTCCAAGACAAAAGAAGTGGGACTTTTCCCCCAGGTGGCAGAAGCAGAAAAAGATTCCTACTTATTACAATCTATTGCTCATTGCCTCCCTTAAATCTTCTTTAGTTGATCTTATTGTTTTGTTTCATCTTTTCTTTTCATGCTGTCATTATAAGATATACCTACAGAAGGGCAAAAATTAAAGCCTCCAAAACCAGCAAATCCCAAGCAATCAGCTCAAGAGATGTCAGAGAAATTTCTCTATGAAAGATTATCAAGATTAAACTCATGTATTTTATCAAATGTATTTAGTTACACAGTGTGGCCACAAGAGGGAAGCTCAATCCACTTGTTAACTTTAACTAGTTTATTAAGTCCAAAACATGCAGAATCTAACAAGGTTACATTAATTTTCAATAAACTCTCAGGTTCAAGAGTGAAAATTTAAAATGTTCTTCTAAGCTAGCACCAAATTGTACTTCATAAACTGCACTGTAGAGAGGCAACGTATGCAAGACTAAATGTAAGCTGCACAACTGCAATGAAGACAGCAGACCAAACAAACAGTGCCCTTCTGAAAGAACCCAACTCATCTGCAACTGCCAGAGACACACAGTTTAAGAGATTTAACGGCAAAAGCAGCCCAGGCAGGCAAAGATTTGGCTGAAGCAGAGGAAAAGTCATAGAACAAGACACAGCAGAGAGCAGAGCTCTGGGCTTCCTGGGACATTGAATGCAAGCAGGTGTCTTCCTGCACCAGAACACATACCTGAAAACAGGGATGCTTAGCAAAAAGTAGTAGTAAGACTGTATCAGATTGACTTTATCCAACAAAAAGATACCTGTTTTTATATATCTGGAGAGGAAAGCATCTTGAGTTCACTTTTTATAATGCTTCCCTAAATACAAAAGTTGGAGAAGAACTAGTCTTGATTATTTACTTTTTTTTTTTTTTTTTATAATCCACTTTTAAAGTTTGCTTACTGTAAATTTCAGATTTAATAAAATACAGACACTGAAAAAATGAAATTGTTTATTTACTGTCCAAAAAAACCCAAACAACCAGCAGCACAATACTTCAGGTCTATGGCTGGCCATTGGTTTTATGATGCCCTTTTCCCCTCCTATCGCAAAGTAACACACGTGTCAGTCAAGATGGAATATCAAATCTACAAGCTCCAGTTTCTCTAAGGGCATGAACAGCTACCAAAATTTCACCGCTTGAAACTATTGACAGATACTAATAAATTTTTAATTATTATTGCAGCCATCCTTATTTAACCTCATATCAATACTGTTTGATTGTATAAAAGAAACCACACAAAAGATGTGCATAAAGCACATTCTGATAATACTTCCTATTGCATAGATTCAAGGTTACAACAGTGTCCCAGAAATCTTCAGGTTCCTTACATCAGCAGGCACATGAATTAAGATTCTCACAAGAAGAGAATACTGTAGAGAGGTATAGCATCAGAAGTTTGTTGTTTGTTTGTTTGTTTTCCCCAGAATCACTGCACACAAATTTGGATGCTTTCTGGTTCAGCTGTGTACATGAATGACTTAAAGAGCTGCACATCCCAATGTGCCATATGATCAGGATGCAAGCAATCAGTGATTTGCTGATACTTATTTCTTTTTGGAACAGTGTCAGATACCCATTAGGTCTATTTATCTAAGAGAGGAGATGCTTCCCAAAGCTTATAACTGCAGGGCTTTGACTTTCAGCACAGCGTGGCAGAAGCGTTAATACAGGAAGTAGCTAATCATTAGAATAAAAGTTATTTTACCTCTGTTCTTTTTTGTCCGTAGCACTGAACAGCTTACCCAATATAAAACCATGATCATGCAAAAAGGGCTTGTCTGTCTGTACATATCAATCTCTCAGAGAGGCATGATTTTAAGGAAAAGTAGAACAAGTGAATGGGACTTCTGAGTCCAGAATAACATAAGGAAAAGTAGTACATTCTTGCACGATATTGAAGTGTGGTCTGTTTTGCTAAAATCCCTGTGAGATGAAAAATAGCCAGCATCCCAGTATAAGCGTTTGAAGCCAATAATTTTCAACTGTATAAAAAAGGAATGAAGATATTTAACTACCGTTGGTCTGATATTTATTACACTGTCATTCTAACAACAGCAGCTAAAAATCTGTTCAGCATTTGTAGATTAGTTGATACTGGCAACGGGTATCTCAAAACAAGAATCATTAAACAGCAGTTCCTCCACAGAGCAAGGAACAAAGCCTTCTTGCAGTATGGTGACATTGACAGAGGGGAGCCAAAGCAGACACCATCTATCTATCAGTCCCCTAATCTGGGACTGAAGAACAAAGAAAACAAACGTCTCCAATGACACAGATCTTCCCTTTCCTTGTAGGGAAACACCTGCTCTGAAATCCCTCTGAATTTTTTTCCTGGATTCTGAGTAAACATGAAGCAGAATTTCCCCTCTGCAATTGTTTTTCCATCCCAACTCCTTCCTTTCTAGGCAAGGAATACTAAAAGTCACTCAAATCAGCATCTTGGGCAGCTTAGTATGAAGTATGGTTTTGCACTATCATAAACACAGACAAGAGCACTTACAAACACTGAAGTTTCCAAGAGGTTTCAAACATGATACTGCTTTCACTTCAACTAACCCAAGTAAAAAATATTTTGTAGCATTATCAGTTTCTATGGTGTTTCTTCTATATTTTCCCTGTTTTAATATGCTTTCCAACAATCAAATGACAACTCGACAGATGAAGAGACAATAAAGAACAAGTAATCTTGTTCTCTCTGTCTCGATCCAAGGAATATTACTTCCAAAACACTGATAGCATTGTGCAAATGGTACCAATTGCTTTGTGCTGACGCATTCTCATGTGACACTCCTAACTCCAGAAATCACTGAGAGCCATTTTCATTGAAGGATTCCCCATGCGCTGCCCACAGCTGACACACTCAGACAGTTCCTGGGATGATGAATCACACGAAGCACAAAGTGCACACCCGTCTGCACAGCACGAGAAAGGAGCTAGCTTCACAGCTCTTTTCTTACAGATGAATCTAACCAGGCAGTGCTTTCGCAGGGCAGCTTAACAAGATAAATGAGTCTTGCAGGCAAAATTGCTGGTAACAACCCACCTGTACTCAACTGCATAAAATTCTTGATTCCAGCAGCGACAGAGAAATTAAAACAGTAGAATGGAGACCACGTAAAAAGAAAAAAAAAAAACTGTAGCCAAAGGACAGTCATTTTTTAAAAATCCTTTTTCAAATATATCTGGACAGATGATGATTCACAAGTATCTTCAGCTGGACACTCACAGGTAGTAAGGCAGTGAAAGAATTAGATGTGGAGCTGCAGAATTCTGTGTAAAAGCCATGATTTAGCAAGCTAAGAATCTCAGAGTATGACCTGCAGCAGAGCTAGTTTGATTTTATTTTGAACTGAGTTTGGAATTCTCAAATGAGTCATTTGTATTATTAGGTAAAATATCCCAGTAAGTGGCTTTGCTTGCTGATGGATGTTAGATGACTTGTTTATGAGTAATCTGCAGCTTCCAGCTCTCATGGAAGCACTATGAAGCACCCTGCTCCACAGGGCTGTCAGGAACAGATATCGAGGGTCCCAAGGGAATGCAAAATTTGGTTCATTCCGGAGAAACGGCAGTATTTCTGTCAGGGAAAAAAAAAAGCCCCTGAAGCTGGCTATATTTTAAACCTCTATGTTGCAGCCTGTATTGCACAAGTAGTTGGGTTTCAAACAACTTGTGAGTTAGAACCCCCTCAACAGGCAGTAAAATTTTCAGCCCAACTCTATCTTTCCTAAGACCGAGAACATTGATGTGTGTTAAGACAAGACTGAAACAGGACTTCAAAGTCATAAGATTTTTAAAGACAAAAATCTGCTTTTTAATATGATGTTAGTCACAACAGTTTCAGCCTTTACAGTCGTTATGAGATACATGAAGTGACTTGTATTTTACTTATGCAGTACGCCCAGTTTGGAAATTATAAAAATCCAGATTTGTGATGTCTTAAGAGCAAGCACCTCTTAGCAGCAAGGGTTTGATTCCTGCAGGCTTCCCTCTTCCCCAGCCACCTCAAGGGATGACATTCCCCACAGCACACAGCTCCGTAATCAGAACATGCTGTGCTACCCGAGTTACACAACTGCACATCAGCTGATGGGCTCTGACCCAGAAAGAAAAAAGTGGCTGATAAGATGGATTATATCCACCCTGAGTTAAATATCAAGACAGCTATAGTGCACTTGTAGCACTTCCAGTGAAAATATTATCTGATTTTTTCTTTTTAGAAGATTTCCACATTAAGCAAAACCTTTTGGTGGACAGTTCTGAGAGTTCTGCTGAGAAGAGTGAGGCCTGACATCCTGATCTTCTGAACTTTTTTACATTGTGTTTTGTTTAAAAAACAGCTGACAAAGACAGTCATCTGGTTGTTACTTGTTAAGTTTCACATATTATTCAGCTCAGTTTTAAAGTCTTTACTAAAATGTCTCCTACGCAAAAGCATTGACCTTGGAATGTGTTATTTCATGTTTTAACTATAAAATCTTTATTTTTATATCTTACTTTCCCCAGCTGTCTGAGAAGCATGCATTGGAATATTCATGGGATATAAATAATAAAAGCCACACACATGAAAGCAGCAGGGTGTAGGTAGAAAAACCTACTTTACTTGCTTGTTCTTAACTGTCAGTTAACTGTCTAACAACTTACAATATCTTGAAGCAAAACAGGTCCTTTGAGAGAAAGTGCTGAGCAAGGTTTGCAGTTAAAAACATACTCCATCTTTGAAATAAGCGCTGTCACAGGACATCAGTGTAACAGTCCCAGCCTCTGATAACGTAACACCACTGGCTGTTAAGAGGAGGAACTGGGAGTAGCTAAACAGATTCTTATGAAATAAAGCAATCTGCTTGTACTTCAGCAGATTCTAAATGTGGCAGTTTCAGAACAAACTTGCTTCCCATTGCTCCCAGTTCACTTATGGATTCTCTCGGGTCCACCACAGTTAATTTTCCAAAACGTTATTTTTGTTGATCTCTCACCAACCTCTTAGCAGCCTCACAGGCTCTTAACTTTCCTTTGAGCATTTTTACTGTACAAAGTCTTGAGACAAAAAGAAGCAGGAAAGAAATAAATATTTGTATTCCAAAGATTCTGATTCTTTATCCTGGTTTGGGCTGGGATAGAGTTGGTCTTCTTTCCAGCAGCTGATATGTTGCTGTGTTTTAGATTTAGGATGAGAACAATGTCATTAACATACTTACATTTTAATTGTTGCTGAGCTGTCCTTACACCAAGTTAGGGACTTTTCAGCTTCTCATACTGCCCTGCCAGCAAGGGCAGCGAATGGATACGATCAGGACAGCTGACCCAAAATGGCCAAGGGGCTGTTCCACGCCATATGGCATCACGCTAATCTATAAAACAGGGAGAGTTGGACAGGAATTTGCCACTGCTCAAGGACTGGCCAGGCATCAGCTGGCAGGTGGTGAGCAATTACATTGTGTATCACTCATTCAGTGTATTATTTCATTGTTATTACTGTTATTATCTTCCATCCCTTTTCTGTCCTATTAAACTGTCTTCATCTCAACCCACGAGTTTTATCTTTTTCTGATTCTCTCCCCCACCCCACTTTGGTTTGGAGCAAACAGCTAGCTGTACACTGCTTAGCTGACTAGCAGGTTAAAGCACAGCAATCATTATTAGGCAGGAACTCCACCCCCCCCTTTTTTTCCTTTTTGAACATGTGGGTGGCTTTTGTGTTTATTTCTTTTTAATAACAACTTTACAGTAAATATATATTGTCTTCTAGACCACTACTGTATCTGCATGATTAATTCTATACAGCAATCTTGCAAAATAATATTTTGTGAATCATTTAAATATTAATCATTTTCGTGTACTGTAGCATAGATGTACTATTCGTATAAACATGAACTGCAGTAACACAGCTTTGTTCTTAGTTTAATGGCTATGCCTCCTTTGCTAGCTTTAGAATTTTCTGAGAAGTTAGCAAGAAATTAAATGAAAGCTTGGAAGAATGACATTATTTCAAAACTCTTCTTGATGTGCTTATTTTGCCTTATTAAAATTCGATGTAGTATTTCAGCTCAGTTTCTTTTGGGTGCCTTAAAAGTCACCTATCAAAACATTCTGGGACCTTCCAAGTTCCAGCACCTACCTTTGAGAAATATTTGTTCACAATCTAATAAGATAAATTTTATTGTGAGTGACCTGGAAGGCTTTAGAGTCTGTCTATAGAGCTAGAGCACAACATTTCTTTAGCAAGACTGCTGGTAAACATTTTTGCCATGTTTGACTCTTTCTTCTTAGAGCTTGCACAATAACACATGTTCAAGATGACAGGCCTACTTAAGAGCATATCTGTATTTTAGATAACATTAAGCTAAACTAAACTTGCACTGAATAAGCCATCAGAGTTCCACCAAGACAGTTTTACAGGATGCAGTCAACATTTTAGGTTATTTACTTCAGCTAATATATTGTGACATTATTTTACTACAATAAAATCAGTCACCCGCATCTATTTTTAAGCAATTCAGGTTAAGAATCAGATGATCCTTCTGTTACTGTGCCATACTTCTTTAAACACAGCAATAGACAACTGTATTACTAATTCATTCTAATGAGACAAATCTGCTTTCAAAGCACAGTGACTTCAGTGAATTGGGTAAATAGAAGAGAAGGGCAGACGATAGGAGAGATTTGCAGCGGGGCTGTGATTTCTTCCAAATGACTTGTTTCAGTCATGAGGCCTAGTATGATCCAGCTCAGATGACTTAAGTCCCAAAGGTGTTCAGTTTACTATATCATGGTGCACACTTAGCATGATCCTGGCCATTTTCCTAAGACCAAATTAATCTGAGATCCTGCATGTAAGGACATGGCAAATACTCTCAACTCCATGTTCCGTTACATTCAAGGAAGAATGGCAACAAGTTTTAGGAGTAAAACCTTTCTGGACAGTTTTTAGAATCTCAGCCATATAGAATCATAATCCAGATTGGAAGGGACCTCCAAAGTCATCCAGCCTATCTCCTTCCAGAAAGCAGGTCTAATTAGATCAGGCTGCTCGGGACTTTGTCTAAGTCTTGAGCATCTCCAAGGACAGACCCCACCCCCTCTGGGTAACCTCCAGCAACTAACCAACATTATGAAAATATTTTTTTTCCCCCTAGTACTTACAGTTTTACAGATCCCAATTTATCATTATTTTAATTCTATCACCATGCATCTCCAAAAAGATCCTAGTTCCATCTCTTTGGTAACTTCTGAAGAAACCAAAAACTGCCTCTTCTCCAAGCTGAACAGGCTGAGGTCTCTCAGCTTCTTGTACAGTGAGTTTTCCAGCCTCCTGACCATAAGTGGCTTATTGGTGGCCTCACTGCAACATGCCAATGTCCTTCTTGCACTGGGGAGCCCTGTATTGGATACAGTGCTCCATACATCTTATGAGAAATGAACAGAGAAGAAGGATGAGCACCAGTTTCACTCTTAATATTACAGCCAAGTATGTGTTTGCACAAAAGAAATTAAGACCTGTATTTAGGATCCTAAGGTTTTACTGCATAACACAATTGTTGTTAAATCTTGAGGAAATGAATATTTGAAATATAACTACAAATTGTTAATTGCTGATAAAAATTACAAATACACATATCAGGAAATTAATGAAGTCCAAACTAAAGGTTGATCAGTGTTTATCCCTCAGAGGTAACCCTCACCAACAGATTCAGTCCCCAAAATTTTGCCATTAGGATAACAGAACACGTCCAGGAAATTTAAGATGACAGTGCCTCAGAATCAAGGGAAAGAGCATTTCCAAAGCATTCAATCTCTCCATCCACTAGTTAACAGATGCCATTAGAAATCACAAGATGAACAGATCAACAGATGCCATTAGAAATCACAAGAGAACCAGAATCAATGACTGTAACAAAACACTCCATGCTTTATTTTCTCATCTCTCCTGATAAAATTCCTGCCTGTGTTTATGTCAGTAGCATCTTGCATATTTCTAGCATCATCACTGACTCAGTGGTTTGAAACTGACTAAGTGGTTTGAAACATGATTATAGTTTTTATAGAAGTTACTCAACCTAAAATGGAATTCTTATATACCTCATTTTTTCTTATATTCCTCAGAGGATGTTTTGCCACCTTAAGACAGAAAGAGCTTATAATGCTGTTTTATTAATAGCAATTAGTGTTTGCTGACAACAACAACAGTTTCTCCTTTTTTCCCCCCAGACTGACATTTTGGAGATGCGTGCACCGTCACCACTTCCAGTGCTGAAGGCAGCCTATATAAAAGCTAAAGAAAAGTTTACAGAGAATATGGATTACAAGTTATTCCTAGACAACTGGCATACATTGCTCACATGGAAGCACATTTTGACAGCTTTTGATGAACCAGAACCCTACAGACAGACACTGAAGATTCCTGTGTGAATCAGCCTGAAACACAGACGTTAAGGAAATCTTTCTTGCAAGTGCAGCATCAGAAGAGAAAGTAGTTTCAGAACTGGTGAGGTAAGGGAAGAAGCTGACACCAAAGAGTAGGAAAAAGCATAGCAGGATAGTTTTTCCTAATAAGACTCCATTGTATGCTATTTCTAAACAAATTGCATTTGTTTAGAAACAATACAGGGATTTATATCCAAAGTGATAGTAATAAAACCAGAAAGGCAACGTACATTATAAGAAATGTTTCTGTACCCATTTCAGTGTTAATAATTCATGTTCTGAAAGAACATCACCACATACTGAAGGGAGAGGGTGGAAAATCCTGAACTAAGTGCCAACAACCTGGAAATGCTGTGCAAATCGCAAGCAGTGGTTTTAAAATGGAAGGAATCAAGCTCAGGCTTGCAATTTTTAAGAATTATGCTTAGACCTATCAAGAAGAAGCAATACCTGATTTTTACTTTCATATAATCTGGATAGTTTAAATTTTAAAGAAGTATTGTCTGGAGTTACTTACAAGCAGGTCACACAGAATTTCTTTGCCAAAATTATTCAGAAAATATTATGTAAATAATTTCGAAAATTTGGCTCAGAGCTACCACGTTTTGTACAAGGGTATCTTTCCATGCAAATTATCTCATAAATACATCACAACGTTTCCAAAGATGACAAACTGTTCTAACTTTACCCGTTGCGGCAGATGGCAGGATGTAGAATGTCTAGATAGATGGCTTCATCTAGAAAGGACAGCCCTGAAATGCACGGCAAAGAGGATGCTCATTACTCAATAACTGTTATTTTTATTTCTTCACGCTCATTCTCCTCTGACAATTGCTTCTTCCACATCTAAATCCAGCAGAGTCAAGTCTCAAATTTGCTGCTGAAAAACGGACATCCAAAAGCACCCTGACAGCCCAGCTGAGACTGGATGTAAGAACACACAAATTAATCAGTACAGAGGCATATCCATCCCCAGCAGCTGCTACCCAAGAAAAGCCATAAACACTTGTGGAAAATATAAGTACAATAAACATGGTGTATCTTCTTCCATGCCCTACCAGCTCCTAGAAATCAACTGTTGACAGACTTCTTGTACTTCACGTGAACCAACTCTATGGCTCTGTTTTGTTTTGTTTTTTCCTCCTGAAGTATATCAAATTCCTTTCTGAATTCTTGATTTTGCCCTCTATTACACTCTGCAGCAATTAAACTGTGGGACTTATTATTTTAGAGAGGGAAAAGAACAAAAAAAGTGTAATCCTCAGCAGTTCCAGAGCACTGCTGTACTGCTCAGGAACGCTGTACCAAAGCGTTACCTCTTGTACTGGAAAGGGCTTCCTAATCTTTTTATTTCAGTTATGAGTTTAAGTGTCTAACATATGCCTATTATCTCCTCCTCATCATTTGATTTGCAAACTTGATAGTCCCCAGTCATTTATCTTTCTTCACATAAAACTATTTTATGCTCCCGATCACCTCTGTAAGTTCTCTGAAGGACTGCTAAAACTGCACAGTATTTGGCACAAACATACCAGATGATTGTAGTGGTTCAATACCACGCTCCCTATTCTTTCATGCAATTCCTAATAACATGTTCACATTTAAGACCCTCATTGTGCACTAAACTGGTATTTCAAATGACCTATCCAGACCTGATTTGAAGTGTAACCACAGTATTAAAATCACAAGCCATATATTGTTAAATTTTCTCTCTCTCAAAAAAAAGAAAAAAAAACGCCAAAAACCCAACACAATAGTTCATCAGCATCTACAAATTCATTCATGTTACTAAGCATAGTTCCCATCGCATGGCCACTTCTCTGGTTTGATTTCAACTACCTGTAGAGACTTCATCATTTTACTTTGATAAAAATATTGAAAAATGTGCTGCATAAAATTGTGGTTAATTGCAAGTTTCTTTTGGAGT